TAGATTAGTATGATTTGAAGCAAAGGAGGAGACAGAATACACTCTTTATTAATGAGTAGCCAAGAAAGAAAAAGCCATCACAAACAAATTATTTATAATTTATTCTTTTCTGGCCATTTAAGACTATTGCTTATCTGAAAGACTCAAGTTATTGTTGATAGATCTCAAATTTGTACTTTATACTTACAGTATATGGAAAGAAAAGATGATTATCATCTATAGCTTATTTGTTCTCAAAAGCTTCCCAAAACTGTATTACATATAAAATCCTTTCCAAAAAGAAAACTAATCAAATTTACTCCAGTATGGTAAAATCAATCCAGTCTCATATCTTAGTCTGTTTCTTTCAAGTAAAAAAACAAAAACAAAACAAAACTTGAAACTATGTGTTTTCTCCTAGATAATTTCTAAATAAAATGAAAGGAAGGACTTATAAGAAACTTTATTTCAATGAAGTAGGTAATAAAGACTTGACCTTGAACCCACCCAGTAACTTTGAGTATACCTTGATGAATGTTATGGTATGGTTATTCTGGGCTACTCTCTAAACTGATAATTTCTATGTTATGGCCCTGTTCAGCCATTGAAGGTTAACAAGTCACACAAGACCGTGGTACTTAGAGACTGCTTTGTCCTGATTCAAGTCTCTGCATATTCATCAACACTGTCAGTTTCTCTATGCCTCTTTAATCAATACACAGAAACACCTGGATTCCTTTTGCTTCATACAGTACTTGAGAACTTTTGAAAATTTGAAAGATTTTTGTAGACTTTACCTTCTCACAGAACTGTGCAATACCACATCATTATAACACATATGAATGTACTCAGCTATAGCTGAAAGTTTGTGGCCTTCTTGGGTAATGTATAATTGGCCAATGTCAATGTATGTTTGTCTGTCACTCATTTCTGGGACAATTTCATTTCGTTTTTCAGTACCTGTATTTTTAACAGTTGTGGCTTTTAAGAATTTGAGTACTTTAGAGCAAGATATAGTCAACTCACACATTAATGCTTTGTGCTATGCAAAATCAATAAACATTTTAGAAGAAAAGAATCAATACTGCCAAGACTCCAGTGAACAGAAAATATCTTTGTGCTGAAGATAAGTGCTGAAGATCTGTGAGGAGATCCATAATTGCATTAATTTTATTTTTGGCATTGAGGTACTGTGTGATTGATCCTTATATATTTCCAGCATATGTCTTTCTAATTTCTTATGCTTTTTGGACTGGAACCCATTTTCAACTGTACATGTGTACTGTGTGGCACCTGGAAGACATGCAGAGTCATCAGCTGTAAAGAATTCTGTATAAGACAAATGTTAAAGGTGATTTGTAGTATGATGATTTTTTCTTCTGTTTTTAAATTCACTTTAATTTTCTCAATGAAGAAGTGTAAGATTTTATCTAGATTTCAGAAAAAAATAAAAATTGAAATATAATGGTGATCTAATTTCGAAGCAGCAGAGGAGATGAGGGTCTGCCATTAAATCATCAATGAATTAAATTGTTGGAAAAATAAAAATAAGAACTTTTTTACATCCAACTTAAAATACTGATATGTGATACCTAGATAAGTAAAGAAAAAGAATAGTTATGAGAAAAGGAAAAAAATGGAAGCACATATTTGAAAATAGGGACAGGTAGAGGGGTTGAAGGGAGGGCAGGGGGATGGGGAAAAATAAGAATCAAGATACATCATGGAAAGGTACAACTTCCCAATAAGGAAAGTCATCATAATGTATACCTAATATTTACCAATAAACTTAATGAATAAAATTTTTAAAAATTCATATGCATATCCCTGGAATAAAAGTCAGTCTATTCCAAAAAAGGAAAGAAAAGAAAAGACATAGTTTCAGTAGCTATGACTCCAAATCATCAAACAATGGTGTTAAATTTACATAATTTCTTTACTTTAGAATTAATTGCTTTTAAAAATGTAAACATCCCTGAATTCCCAAACAAATATTGCTGTGTGTGTCAATTCATCTCTATTTAGTATCAACAAATATTTATCCTTGCTACCTGTTGTAGACTGATTTGTATCTCCTTCCAAATTCTTATAAAGCCTTAATACTCAATATAACATATCAGATAGGGCGCTTTGTGGGTAACAGGTTTATAAGGTCATAATGGTGAGGTCTTAATGTAGTAGAAAGATGGCTATATAAAGAGAGGAAAATCTTTCTTGTCCTGCAAACAATGAAAATTTGTAGGAGCACATGGCAAGAAAGTGGTCCTCTGTAAGCCAGGAACAAAGTGTGGCCAAAGCCAGACCCTGTGGACACACTGGTCTCAGCCTTCTGGTATAAAGAATTGCAAGAAAATAAACAACAACAAAAAATCAATTTCTATTTTATAAGTTACCCAATCTATAGTTTCTCTTATTGGCAGCCTCAACTTGCTACTGCCATTGTGCAAAAGCAGCTTCACATATCACTAACCAGGCACAATTTCCACATGTAACTCTGATGATGACTCACCTGCCACCTTCATTCACATGGAATTCAAAGGCCATAGTGATAACTGAAACTTATTGTTCATTGTGTCCCATGCTGTGTGCCAGGAGCACATCCCTTCTGCAGATCATGTCCTCTAACTTTACAGAAACCAGAGTTGTACGAATAGAAAACATGATTTTCCAATTCAGTGTTTGGAAGACACAGCAAGAGAAGTCACTATTGCCATTACGCTTTTGTTAGGAATATAGCACTATATAAATACAGGTCTCTGAATTAATGAAAGTACAGTATCTGAATGATGGCACAACATCATTGTGGAATATTGCTACTTTGCTGGTACTTCAAATGTCTTATTAGGTCACTTTAATATTTGTGGAGATCAGCTGCTTCTTGATAATGAAGTTCATGATATAACCATTGGATTTCACTGTTACAGTCTTGCACTGTCACTACAGTGAAATGAGACTTTTTGTTGGATGCTGCATCGTGTGGAAAATAATGCCTGAGAATTAAAAATTACCTAATTGCTTAGGTAATTTAACTAGCATAGATAGTTGTGCTAGCTGAGGTTATGTAAGAAAAACATCTCTGTCAGGGTGACTCCCCGCCATTTGCAGAACAGAAAGGTCTCAATCTCATTACTTTACACAAGACAAGCATTGGTTTTCTTTAGGTAATAGTGTCATATTAGTGGTTCATTGATATATTGGACATTGAAGTACACCAGTAGGTATATTGGCATTGGCAAGCAGATCCATAAGTAATTCATATTTGTTCATTTGTACATCATGTTAATTCTGGGACGAGGAATGATAAAACATGTCTAATGTCAACTGGTTAAGTTATTTTGTCTTAATCGTTGTTCAGTGCCTCTTATTTAGTAGATGCCACTGGTGATGTAAGATACAAAATTCACCATATTGTGCCCGCTTTTAAATGCCCACTCATGTGCCTCTACTACAGACCTCATCATCTCAGATCATCTAGATTATTTCTTTCTGGAGCCTGACTAAGATATCAAGGGAATTAGTCACACACTAATTTAGGTGACTGCCTTCTATGTGAAATGCATGATCAGGTAGACCCTTCCCAGCTATAGTTTTAAAAAATATTTTCCTATACTTCTGCTTTTTGAAGTTGTATTTTTTTGTGTGTGTGTGGTTCAGAGTCTCAAATTTAGGGCCTCCTGCCTAATAATTAAGCACTCTACCACTGAGCTACACATTCAGACCACAGGAGTTATTCCTTAATGTGGCCAAACTATAGTCACGAATTATTTTAAGCTTCTTGATTCATTAGCAAGCCAAGATTGAGTTCTCTCCTATATTTTCAGCTTCCCCTTTAAGGCTCTTCTCTCTGCCTTAAAATAGCCATAGGTTGCTTGTAACATTGAGTTAGATTGCAAAACCTTAGCCAGAATAATAATTGAATATTTCTTCAAATTTATATATTTTATATATTTGTTCAACATTTATATAGCAAAATCAGTGTGAATATCTCTGAGAACTGGTATGGTGATTTGTATTCCAGTTAAAGAAATTAATACAGTGAAAATAAAACTATTTAAAAGGTTTACATGCTTTGGTGTGTATGATATGGGTTGCCGGACTATATATTCATGAACCTTCCTGGTCCTCCTCAAAATCAGTACCAAATGTATCATTTCCATTATGCACATGGGTTCCTGGGTCTTCAGAACATGTTGCATACTTAATTAATCTTATTGGGGATATTCTAGACATATAGTCATCTACTACATGGTCAGTAGGCAAGCATTTCTTCTCTCACAGAGGTTCATCTACATTCCAGATGCTGTGTCTTGAGAAATGTACATTATTCCATGGTGACTGGTACGGCTTTACCTCAGACTCTCAAAAAACCCTGAATTGTGAGTGGTTATCTGGGACTCTTCATAACTTCCACCCTGAATCTTCTTCTATCACGTATACATCAAGTTTTATACAGTTGTTAAATATTATTACCCAAGAGACAACCTGAACTTTCTGCAGAGCCATTTCCTAATCTGGACCACATTCAACCCTGACAACCTTTCATATTATCCAATATACAGTATGAGGTGATATTTCTAAGATCCCAATATCTTGTGTGTAGAACCTGAAAAAATCTAGCAAGTCCTTTGCTTCCTTTTCTTCAACAGAGGGTGTACAATGTAGAATGTCTTTTATTCTGGGCAGAATAATCTCTTGTGCCCTTGACCAGTAGGCACTTAATATTTGCAATTAATGGCAGATCTCTAAATATTTCAATGTTTTTATGTCTTAATTCCTACTTTTTTCAGTACACATCTTACTAATTCTTCCCGTGTACAAATCTCTTTTTGCTCTTTCCTCTCTGATATCATGATGTCCTCAAAGAACTGATCACATTCTGCTGAATGTTCAAAAGATATAGACTTCTTTAGACTATATATAAAAAAAGAAGGATGTGAGAGTTCATAGAGCTTTGGGGGAAAACTGTTAAAATAAATATTTCTATTTATTCCACAGGGACTGAAATTCTTTTCTTTACTCAGCAGGTCCGAACATATAATAGGAGGGACGGAAGAAAGAGGATATGGTTCTGACCTTGGTGCAACGGAAATATGATTGAAGACAGTGAGAAGGTTTACCTCCAGGAAAAGTATTTTCTAAAGCAGGTCCACTTCAAGCACAGATGGCCTGGATGTAATACTTATGTGATAGTAAAACATTGCTCGAAGCAGCCAAGTGGAAGAGTGGCTGCCATGGAGAATCAAAGGTACCCTGGAAACTGAGTCAACTATGTTCTCTGCAGCAAATTCTCTTCAAGGGAGAGTTGAACACTATAAATCCATTGCTATCCTGAACAAAACAAATTGTGTCTGTTCATCCAGTCTGTCTACAAAGATCATTCATTTTAAATTTATTTGCACTGCATTAATTTCCTTAACTGGAATACAAATCAATATGCCAGTTCTCAGAGACATTCGGGGTAACTTTGCTAAAGAAATGTTGAATAAATATATAAAACATGTAAATTTGGAGAAATATCAAATTATTATTTTGGCTAAGGTTTTTGCAATCTAACTCGGTGTTTACTTCTCACGTCTAGCTTCTGTCCTCTTCACAACATGGCTTTTATGATGATGTATATGGAACGTATGCTATTTTAGGCAAATGCATGCAAGGATTTATTATTTTCTGGGCTTGTTTGTGACTTTCAATGCTTTGAAATGTTTTCCCTTTTAGGATACAAACTGAAAAAATAAACATCACATGGGCATGTACCATATTAAAGAGTTTCTTGGCAGGTATAAAAGATTTTGAGCTTCAGAGCAAAAAATGTCTCCAGTTGCCTGAGTGGGTTTTGGCACCTTAATGTACATGCTTGCCTATGTCAAATATATATGCAACAATATTTAATCTTATTCTTGAAAACTGATGAGAAAATATCTAGTAAAAATGAGAGGCATATTATTTTGTTTATTTTTCAGTTCGAATACACTACTTGCTAAAGTCATGGCAGATGCAGAATACGAATCCTCAAATTTGTGGCCATTCCAGTGGATGAAATAATCATTGTTTTGATCAAGAATTCTTTGTCACTGTAAGTTCGAACTACCTCTCACATTTTTGGGCTTTAACCTAGCATCTGTCTACAGGGCTCTTTACCATCTACTGTTTCATCTCTATATAGTTTTACCTTTCTGTGAAAATCTGTTTATTTTTTGCTGCTTTTTTCCCTAAGGTAAGTTTTCTCTTTTATTCACAAAATTATAAAAAATGATCAAATAGATAAAGTATTGAAGATATATAGGTGGTAATATATATCACATTTTCTTCATTGTTATAGAAATTTAATTAGTAATATTAACAGAAATATATTTTTATGTACTATTTTACAGTGAAAGATGTTCAATTTTTATTTTTTTAGACATTTTCTTAAGAAACCATGTAGACTCTTCAAGAAATCTAGAAGTACTCTTATAACTAAATTCAAGTAACATAGCTGCAGATCCATTACTACATTTTTTTATTGGAGGGAAAGTTATACCTCATTTAGAACTAAGGGCAAATATATTTCCCAAGGAAAGAGTTTACAGATAAATTTTCCATTGCTTTATCTCCTATGTACTCTCCATCTCAGCCCATTCTTAGTTTTCCCTCTACAATTCAATTTTACCTTTGTTAAAGTCACACATGTTTTGGAAACCCATGGACATTTATCGGTTCTTATTTTACTCCTTGTACCTAGTTGCCATGCCATCATTGAACATTCCTCTTTGGTGAATTATGTTTCTATTTTGGCCTGCATGATGCCACATACCTTTTTCTTTTGTGTCACCCTAGACACTGTAACTTGATTTCCATTTCTGGTTCATTTAAACATGCTGGAATTTTAAATGAAGCTTAACTTGTTTTTGCTTACCTTGTCAATTATACTGACCAGCGTTTGCTGAAAAAATAAACTACTACAAAATACTAGGGAACTGCAAGAGTAAGCATATTTTTTATACATCTATGCGGTGGCTGGTTGGCTCCACTGATCTTGGCTGAGCTTCTTCATGCATCCATGGATTGGGAGTTGGCTGGACGTGGCAAACTCAGCTGGGCAGCTTTGCTTCAAAGAGTTGGTCTGTCACTCAGCCAGATGGCTCTGTTTAATATGTCTCCCATTCTTCTTGAACTAGTGGGCTAAACAAAACACGGTTTTCTCATGAAGATGGCAGATGTCAAAAGGAACTAGCCAAAGCCAGACAGCGTCTGTGAGGACTATTCAGAATTGGCATCCCAAGATTTTCCTTTGTATTCCACCAGTCAGAAAGGCTACATATTAGAATCCAAAGTCAGGAAGTATGGAGGTACACTCTACCTTTAAAGCAAGGAAACGTATTATGAAATGGGAAATGATGTGACAGAAGATGAAGAACTGACATCGGAAACTAAATCTTCCATGCTGACCTTTCCAACTCACCTGATGATCTGTATTGCTACAAATAGATTTTATATAGTTTTTCATGTATCAAGATGTTTGTTTCTGTTTCTGGCATAATAATCCTGATATTTGCTTGACTGATCTTTAAAGAAAATAATTTCCTGCAGTCCTCTTCTCTTTTTACAGTATAGTATTCCAACTAACTTTGTGCTTATTTGATGTTTACCTCTTCAATATCCAAGCTGCACCCGAGTGAAATGTATTTGCCACTTTTGCCATTGCGTCATCAGCACCAACAAGTGGTCTTCTGTATGATTTTAATTCAGATATTTGTTGAACTAATGAAAGGAAAAGAATAATAGTGGGATATTGTTTTCACCCAGAAATTATAACAAAGAAAGAATCAGAAGTTTCATGCCTATTTCTTTATGTCCTAGAAATGTATTGTTATTGAAAGAGGAAGACAAAGTTGACAGTTTTTATGAAGTATGAAGTATTATTTTTTATAGTTTAGTTTTCATTTTAAAACAAAAGGCATATTATTGTTAGAGTTTTCTCCTAGTCTACTGTGATCACAGCATCACAAAAGGAAAGGGGCCAATTACAATGTTATTTTGATGATGTAGATGAGGTCATGATTTTGAAGGCCTATTAGCAGTGGAAACAGACCAAATTTGCCTATTAAATTAGAGAATTTACTTTATGCTCAATGTATACTCTATTCAAACATATAAAACAAGGCATTGTCCTAGTAACACCCTAGGAGAGATGTATTAATATTATTCTCCGTTTATGTCTAAGGGAACTAAGGATCACAGAAGTTGAGAAACTTCTATAGTATACAAAAGTACTAAACTGTGGAACTATTAGACTCTTCAGATCCATAGATTCTTGTTGTAGTTGTAAAATCCAAAACTTCTGAGAATGAATATTTTTAAAACCCACTTTCTGCTGGCCTTGGGCTGGGGGTACATCTCCTTGGAACTACTTGCCTAGAATGTTCAAGATCACTGGTTCCATCCCCAGACCTGCAAAACAGAACAAAACAAAACAATACAAAGAACAAACAACTCAGCCACCTTAACATTAAGCTGTACAGCTGATTTAGTCCAAGACTTTAAGATCGTCAGGATATAAAAGAGAAAATTTTCATTTAGGTGAACATGTTTGTAAGCAACATGGAGGATCTTTATAGAAAAAAAGAAAAGAAAATATGTTATTTTGACATTCATATATTTATGCATTTATATCAGCTCTGCAATTTAATATGTGACTCTTGGAAGGGTTTTGAAAGCTTTCTGGACTTCAGTTTCCTCACTGTAAACTGGAGATAATAATAGTACCTATGTCAGAAGTACACTTGGCACAACGTAAACACTTTTTAAATGTAAGCATAAAGTTTATCACCTATTTTATGCTTACACTCAGCATAACCTACTTATATAGTTACTTTTCTATATATCACTATATCTATGTGCACACACGAGCACACACACGCTCACACACACACACACACAGATTATCTTTTTACTTGAAATCACAGACAGAATCTAGTTTTCAACACCATCTGCCCCCCAGACAGTTGTCTAGGGGATTAAACACATATATTACACAAGTGATGATGCAGTAATTTAGCATTTTATATGTTCTATTTTGGATGTCAAACCACGCCACCACCTCTCAATGTATCCTACCTGGTGTCTCAATTACGGTGTTTAGTGTTATTGTTATGTGGTTCATTATTAGCCTCAGAGGAAAAAGTCATGCTATGATAGAGGAGAAAACTGAATCTAGAGTTTGAATATTTATTTTTAAAGGCTTGCATAGCTCAGGACCATAGAATTTTTGAGCTAGAAAGTTATTTATTTTTAGTTTGTCCTATATGTTTCTGGATGTTTATTGCTATACCTGATCTCCACATATCAGTTGCTGGTAGTGTCCCTTTGCTAGTTGTAAAAGTCCACAATTTCTCCTCCAGACATTACCAAATGCCCCTTGTAGGGAAGAACTCCCCCTAGTTGAGAACCACTGATCTAACACGTTTTAACAACATTTAATCTGGAGTAGGTCATTTTAGCACTCTAAACCTCAGATTCGCATTTGGAAAGTTTGTTTAATAATAATAGTGCACGGCACTGTTATGAGACTGGGAAGGTACATTGCAGGGTCTGCATGAAATATATCCATAGTTCATTTCATTAATTTAAATCCTAGAAGTCTCTATTGCTTAAGCAATTAGAATAAGAGAAAATATTAAAAAGCATCCAGAAGATGGGAGAAGACCATGCCTATTTCTTACTCTCTTGCTTCTCTCTCATCTTTGTATAAATTTCCACTCTGTTTAAACCATGATTGCTATGAGCTAAAATTGGCACTATTTTAAGTAACCTTCATACACCACCTCCTGTCTCTTCTAGCAATATGAATTTAAGGAGAGACAAGTCAGAAGTGAAACAGAAAATAAAACACACCAATCAAAGCACATTAGCAGCTGAGTAAAGGCTGGGATTTTGTAGTTAAAAAGAAATTATTTGTCTACACAGTACAATACATCTCTATGTGATTTCAGAGTTCAAGAATTAAGACCCAAATTTAAGGGATATTGTTTTTGATATTTGAAAAATATTATTCTCTAAGTGGATAAATTAAACCATTATTATAGAAATTGATTGTTAAATATCCTCACTATAGCTCAAAAGATTAATAACATGGCCATCTTTATAGACTGAAATTAATCTTAAGTAATTGATTCAGCAAACTGATCCTATCTTCATGTTTTATTGAAACTATAAATAAAATATTAAAATACTGAACTAGTAGTGAATGGCTTATAATATGAAACCAGCATTGTGTATGTCAAAGAGTGCAAGTGGGTCCTTTTCTAAAGTGTCGTATCTTTAAGAAGCAAAGAAACTTTAATCAACATCCTGGAGAATTGAGTTATTAGGGTTAACTTAAATGTTTTGCTTGGCACAGTTAAAAAAATTGATATAAACATGTCTTTGGACATTTTCCTATCTTAAAAGCAAAGCAATTGGATCCTGCAATATTTTGCAATCTTCTTTTTATGCAAAATAAAGGTTGAGGTGGAAATCATTGAACTGAATATTCCCTTCCTTTTCTTCCTTCCTTTCCACTTTGTTATCTTCTTGCTTTCCTGCCTTCTTTTCTCTCTGTCTTTCATCTTTTCTAGATTCGATAAATATTTAATGACTAAAAACCTATCGTAGGTGATACATTTGATTCACCCTCAGAAGCAGTGGGCATCACCAATTGGTTCACCTTTAGGAAACAGCTGATCTCATCATAAGGAAGCAGTAACTTTGACACTAACTGTGTTATAGGTACATTGCTGTACATATAAAATGAGTATTTTATAATTAGTCTAATATACTTGCTCTCGAGCTTTTATTATAACTTATTTTAGAATAGATAACTGTAAACTGCTACACAAAATAAATCAAATGTATTTTATTTGCCTTGTCTTTTCTACACTTGTCATTCTTGATTTCAAAAGAATTCAGAGGGAAAAGTTTCCTGTCCTTATTGCTCATAAATTTTAATATACACACATATATGTACACATATAAACAGAAATACACAGAATATTCCTCCTCATGCATATGCTGGTTTCTTGGACAAATAGTTGTTAAAACAAGTTTTTAAGTTTT